ATTTCAAGTTGTTTCAAATGGTTCTTAGAAACTTTCGCTTAACAGGCTTCCGTATCAAGTAGCAGTGAATCACCGACGCCTCCAAGCAGGAACCCAGGTATATTTAACGATAAAAAAATATTGGTTAATCATAGTGAGATACTGCCCTTAGTACTTGAGAATGTGTTAAGTTTTCCCTAAAAAGACTCCTGGGAAGTTGCCTGGTTTAACTTGACCGGCAGAGAATTCCATCACTTGACCACTCTTGAGAAGTAGAAGGTGTACTTACAGTCCATTTTGTCGCTAGTCTCTGGTTTTTACCCCTAAGGTTTGTGTTGGGACTGAGCGTAAGTAGCTGTTTAAAGAGATGCCCAGATGTGTTTGGGATGCTGTAGGCTATTAGGTCAGCTATAAGATACCTATACCCCAATGGGTAAAAGTTCATTGATTCGAGCTGCTCTCGATAAGACTTGGATTTTAGTTAACGAACTGATTTCGTGGCTCACCTTTGGATACATTCCAACGCATTCTTATCCTTTAAGTATGAGGGAGGAAACACCGTATTTCTATACTCTAAATGGGGTCCAATGAAACTGTTGAATATTAAAGGGAAGGTCTACCGTCACAATGGCCAATAATGTACCTCAGTATTACCAGTGCAAGATTTGCTCGGTAGGTATTTTTGTTTCCATTAGCGTAAGACTTAAGACCACATTATCGGCAAAAAGTAATAAACCCGACAGTACTTGCTGAAGAAGGTTGTTTATATAAAGGGGTCCCAGTAGTGAACCCTGGAGGACCCTACAAGGGCATTCCGTAACCTGAGAAAAAGTAAAGTTTACCCTGCCTCAGAAAGTCGATTATCTAAACGTGAAGTAGGCCAATCAATGGCGGCTGGACACATCTTGGTTTAAGCTCGTTTATAAGACATCTATGATTGACCCTACCAATATCTTTCGAGAAGTCAAGGTATATAACATCGACCTTGCCCTTGTAAACGAGATTGGCTGTCTGTTTGTCTGCCGCGGCCAGCAGTTTGGTTACACAAGAATGGCTCTTCATGAAACCGTGACGTTTGAGTGAAAAGAAGCTAATGGATGGCATGTAGTCACATAGAGGGTCGGACATCAGGGACTCCACAATTTTTGAGGGTGTTTAGGAAAACGCTACTGGACAGTAGCTGAAAGGTTTGCTACGTTGACTTCCTTTAGGAATTGGTGTAATGTAATCCAGTTTCCAATTTTCTAGTACTGTACCTCGGCTTTAAGAATATGAGATTATGCTAAGTGGTTTTGTTAGTATTAGAGCCGCTTCCCTCAGTATAGAATAATGAACCATATTCTGGATAGAAGAAGTATTCTTGTTCATATGCTTGAATTTCTGAAAAACCAAGTCAGCTTTCAGGTTCACTTATGGGAGTCCCTTGGGTTTGCTGGTAAAGTTCTCGTCGACGAAGTTAGCATGAGACGGCCGAAATGTCTGAAAGTGTCGTCCTGCTAGGAGGTCGGTAAAGTTACAGTCATTGCCGGTTGAGTCATTAGGATCTAGCAATTAGGAAAGTCCGATTCTGACATGTTGAAGACAGGCTGCACAATAGAATGAGCTTTTCGGATTGAAGACAAAATTATTTATGCCTGACTATTTAGAATAACTAATAAAAATAATCTCTTTGCAAGTGACCGCTGAATGAGCCAACATAGGTCAATCGGCTCAATTTCTTGCTCATGAAAACCGATTGGATAGTTGGTCGTGTTCGTGATGACACTCTTATTATCATAAACCTTAAAGACAACCCTGACCTTCCTCTCAGTTTGCAGGACAAAAATGACAGGATGCCCTGGGGTGAATTGAACAAAAAACTTGAACTTCCTAGAATAGAGCTTTTGACGGTCACACGGGAAAGGAATCTAAGCATCAAAATCACCCAAGGCTACTTCGTGTAACACTTAAGAATGCTACCAACGTAGATGATGTCCTGGTAGCTAGTCGTTTACTGAAATCCGATGGGAACGTAAGAATACTGCCAGACATACCGTATTCTGAACGCAATCTCATCCGGAACATCCCTAAAGAATCTCACAACAAATTTTTCCGCAGAAGAAATATAATTGTGCAAGGTGTGCCGGAAAACACGGACTCTAGTCAAGCAAACCCTGATATTAGGGAATGGAAATTCATCAAACAGTCCTTGAGGCCCAAAAACGTGCTGACTCAACGTGTGACGAGACTAGCGAAGAAGGACGGTGATCCTAGACCCCGGCTAATGAGGATAACTCTCCCATCCTTCCATATGGCGGCTGCAACTCTGGAAGCATTTTCTAAGAACAGACGTCCTTTGCCAACTGGAATCCACATGTACCCAGACAGGCTATATGAAACCAGGACCAAGCACAAAGGCAAGTCGGGCTGATCACTCCACTTGTGAACTGTCTCGATGATAAAAAATATGTGACGGACAGAGCTTACCAACTCGGCAAACTTTATAGAGGCAGGCTACCTGTCCATTCACGTAAGACTGACACAGACAAACAGGAAAAAGCTCACGCGTTTCAAATTGAAAGCATAAAGTGCTTATACATGAACGCCGCGAGTCTACCAAACAAAATGGATGAGCTACGTGAGCTTAGCAATGCTACTAATGCTCATCTGATAGGAATATCTGAATCTTGGATATCTTCTCAGTTCCCGGACCAGGAGCTAGCAATACCTGGAATGTCTTTGTGTCTCAACGACAGAAAAACGGGAAATGAGGTTGGAGTAGCATTATACATACGATCTTGCTTGGACGCGCACCAAGTTCATAACCTAGAGTTTAACAATCTTGAGGAATCCATATGTTGCTCTGTAAGATTGTCTACTACTTCGAGGTGCCTAGTCGGAGTCATTTATAGGAAGCCCACTGCCGACATCGAATATGGCGGTAGTATGCTGGAAGGACTATCCCACTCTACACATCTCGGTTTCACTCATATCCTGATTCTAGGGGACTTCTATCTCCCCAGAGTCAACTTCGCGTAACATACGTATATTGGAAGTGAAAACTCAACTGAAGCTTCGTTCCTCAATCTCGTTGAAGATGTGAGATTATACGAAAATATGAAGTCGGCAACTCGTAGAAACAGTCAGTCACCGTCGCGCTTAGACTGTGTATTTACAAACGAAGAATTTCTAGTTGACAACCCCTCAATCCTGGCTCCTCTGGGAAAAAGCAATCACGCCGTTATAGCCTTCAGTTTTGTCAGCAAAACTGAGCTAAGATTTCTCACCAACAACATGCGCTGGAATTTCAAACGGTTGAATGTGTCGGCTCTACAGGACTATCTACAACAGGTGGATTGGGATGTTCACTCTCAACTCGGTGTGGATACTCAATGGGACTTCTTACTGCACACGCTCTCATTTGCTACAAAGCAGTCAGTTCCTCAAACGGTCCCCAATAGCCACAATCAACCTACAGTCATCAAGAACCACACTCTTCGCCTGCCAAGTCGCGAAAGGCACTGTTGGGCAGAATACAAACGAACTGACAACAATGGAGCGTACAAACAATACAAACATATGAGGAACATATGCGCGACAGCCATAAGAGAAGACAGGCTTCAGTACCAGATAAAGCTTATGGACAAATTTGCCTCCAATCCGAAAAGCTTATTCCGTTAGGCAGCCTCTCTTCGTCAAGCCAAAACTGGGGTTTCCCAACTGCTAGGTCCTAACGACCCGACCAATAACGACGGCGACGCCGCTAACCTTTTGCCTGAACAGTACTCTCGGACATTTCAACCGACCCACATCAAGTATACTGATGACAGCTTCATTTGCAACGGCACAGGACTTTCCATAGTGAACCTGAGCGCTGACTTGGTGTTTCGGAAGCTGCAGCACCTAGGAAAATACATTTCTCCTGGCCCAGATATGGTCCATTCTGCTATACTGAGGGAAGCAGCCTCAACTTCACTTTATCTCAGGCTATGGAATGTCCTAGTGGGGTCCCCCAGGGCTCAGTACTAGGACCTCTTCTCCTCTTGATCTACATAAATGATCTCCTACAACAGATAAAGTCAGATTTATTACATTTTGCTAATGAAGTAAAACTTTAAAGGGAGAGATACGCGGCCATAACGATATACAGGCACCTCAGGAGGATCTGACTCGACTTCAAAGTTGGGCAGATGATAACAGACTTACATTTAACACTTCAAAGTGTAAAGTAGTACATCTGCAACATGTCGCAGACTACATTTATAACTTAGGAAATGCCTCTCTAGTAGTATCCCAAGTCGAAAAAGATTTAGGAGTCCTGGTGCCCTACGATTTAAAGTCTTATGCTAACTGTGACAAAAACGCCTTCCGAGCAAACCTTGCACTGGTAACGTTGAAGCGCATTTTTGGTCAGTTTGACGGAAGAACTTTCCTTATAATTCTCAACAGTTTTATCCGTCCCCATTTATATTAGTATTTTGTCCCTCACTCCAAAAGGATAAGGACACTCAGGAGCATACCCAAAAGCAAGCCACGAAGTCAGTTCGAGAACTCAAATTTAAACCTTATGAAGAGCGCCTCCATTCACTTAACCTTTATCCATTAGAGTGTAGGCGTCTTAGAGGTGACCTTCTGATGGCTTACAGTATCCTTAAAACTTCTGGACATCTTAAACACCTACTTAAGCTTAGTCACAATAGCAACCTAAGGGGTAACACCCAGAAATTGGAAACACAACATAGCAGAACGGATTGTAAACACAACTTCTACTTCTTAGGAATTGTCGAATGCTGGGATTTGCTGCCGGCCGAACTAGTCCAAGCGACTTCCCAGGAGTCCTTTAAGAGGCAACTTGATATATTCTTAAGGTCTAAGGATAGTATCATGCTATGATTTACCAATTTCTTTTTCCTCTTTTATCGTTAACATACCTAGGTTCCTGCCTGCAGTTATTCGTGACCCTCTGCTACTAGACACGGAAGCCTGTTAAACGAAAGCTTCTTCTATTCTGTCCACAACCATTTGAACCACTTGAACCATTTGTTTAAAATCACCTGGAGGCGCTAGTCTTCACTGTAAGTAGCTGGATTGCTGTATAGACATGGGTCACGAAAACATTTGGCACTCACGTCCGAAGAATTATGGTCAAGGCAGTAGATGCTGTCGTGTTTGTTCCAATCGACATGGTTTGATCCGGAAATACGGTCTACATATGTGCAGACAATGCTTTAGACAGTATGCTTCTGTAATTGGCTTCAAGAAGTTTGACTAATAATACAAGTTATCATGGATTAATTGTTATTGTTATTAATCTCATTTCCTTAAGTTTGACGTCACAGTAATGTTCCGTTGTAGTACTGTCCTTGTGTTGTACCGTCAGGATATAACGTACGTATTGTACTTAACACAGCCTCACTTGTTTCTATTCTTGTGCTATATGGTAGTATGTGTATTTAAATTTATGGCCCTCACCTTAATATGTACAGTGTCATATTATTAGACTGACTGATTAGCTAGGGTCGCTAGCAAGCAACCAAAGGCCTCTACGGATCCTACTATGAGTAGATTACAACTTCAAGCAATAAAAGTTTACGTATGAACCTGTGATCAAATTTAAGCAAAACGGTGCTAGTTGAAGTAAGACCTCGTCATGGGATTCGTAGTGGTTTTATTTCCTAATCCTGCATATTGACTAGTGATTACACCAAGTCAGTCAGACAGTATGGTACTGTATGCATCATAGTCATGATTGTCTCAACAGTACCTCCAAGCCTTTGTAAATACCGTTATCCAAGGAGTCCAGTGCGGGCATTTTTATTGAGTTCGTTAAACTTTCCATTATGGGTACCTGTCCCGTGATTATCACGTCACATCCAAGCCTTTGGTCACTAGTGCCCTAAGTATCCAACACAAACCCCCCTGACTTTCGTGGCAAAGAAATGCCGTTTCCCTTAGCCTATGATAGATTTCTCGTCCTCCACGAAGTAAATCACATTTTTTATATTTTAAGAATTAACCTACAAGCCCCAGATGTTTTAATTACCAACCCGAGTTCTCTGTCGACGGTTTTCTGGAAACAGTGAGAATCAAAGTGGTACTCAGTAGCTTCCACATCATTATGGTGTAGGTCGTGTTATTTGGAGGGCAGATTTTTACTGAATTATGGAAAATGCTGCAACCACGGCCATCGACCTCAAGTGATTTACCTTTCCTTTGTTACTGGGGCTGTCAATACTAATCATATAGATCAGATCACAACAGCTGTGGCTGCGGTGGATTTCAAATTTTCCCATTTTTGGTCACACAGAAGGCGGTACTAGTGATTAATAGTTAATATCTAGTTTAAGATATTTGTAACTAGTACGTGTTCCATCTTAGATTTTTCATAGGTGATAAGTCACGTTTTATTCTTTTTCTCTGACACCTAGACGTTCAGTCACTATAATCCTCATAATCATAAATTAGGTGGTCCGTTCCACTTCCTGTTTATAGGTCGATCTAATTTGTTGCTGGACGGGAGTGTTGCGGTGAGTACTATATCAATAAGTAATTGGTGCCTTGTCATCTGAATATTTTTACGGTTATCGACCTCATTGCAAATATTACACATTAAGAGTGTCTGGTTACGATCTTTCCTAATTGTCATAGTAGTGTCGTTGTTAGTTTCGATTACCTGAATCGATGTTTACAAAAGTAACGAGGTTAGACCTCCATTAAATTTTGAAGAATCAATTACCATGACTATTCCTTAGAGCTTACAGCTTGATACATTGTTTAATCCATCTGATGTCTTAATCCTTGAGCTTTTGTGTCATCAGATTAAACAATTACTCGACCATAGTTTCTGAATTCCAGCGAAAGATGTCTGATTTGTCAACTTTCGCCCCTCGGACATAGTGTCTCGTTCGTCAAACTTCCAGAGGAATAAAATTTAAGGTTTCCTTTATAGCTGTTTTAAGTAGATTATATAGAATGGCAAGTAGTTTGCCGTAGCGTATCCACGTTAGTAATTATGTCTTTTATAAAGACATCAGTAAATATAGGGTTCCAGGTGTTTTATTAGCCAATGACAAGCTCCGTAATAATAACATTGTTTTAAACCGGAAACAATGCAGCAAGATGACTTAGATATAAAAGTACGAGTATGGAGAAAACGGTATGTACATCACCATGTCACGCACGCAATTTCACAGACATCAAAATCTTGTTAGGTAGTAAGCGGGGTTAAATCACTCAATCCCATAAGCTCATTAATATGCTAGGATTCCATATATGGTATCAAGGAGAAAATAGATTAAGTAGTGTGATACATTTATATACATCAGGCTCATGGAAGCAATGAAGCAAATGGGACCAGACCATCTGTGCAGCGGTAAGGGAGTAGGTGTGATAGCGCTTTGGAGTGTTGTGCGGCGCTTATAAGTCTGAAACCATCGATGTAAGTCACTAAGCTGCAGAAGCCACATCTCCAGGCAAACTCCAAGTATTTGTCAACCTAATCTTAATGAGAACAGTTCTGACTATCACTGGGCATCTTGATGCTTCAGTCAGTCGAATCGTTTGCTCTAGCGGTGCGAGATGATAAAGAGACGTGAGAAGGGTTAGTCATGGAGATAAGAGAGGTATTAGGAGGTGTAGGAAGGATTTGAATGTGACCACCTTGGTCTCGTGCTGTTACGGGTATGAGGGCTGATGTCACTTCCCGGCTGCCCACACCGTGGAAGGGTATTTCTTGAGGAACCTGAAAAGGAAATTGGATTAGTGTTGGTCTTGACGACCTGGAAGCGTGACCGCAGAGCCCAAGGGACAACTGCTTGAGGCCGGTCGCGCACGGCTTTTTTGTGGAAGGTTTTTGACGTGTTAGCTCCGTTCTTCAAAGGGCCTTACCGCCGGAGATGGAAATCCGTGAGGTGTGACATTTTTAGGGTCGACCTTTCCTAACCCCACCCCTCCTTGTGGGAAGGCAGCATCGCTGTCATGCCGGTTGTCCGAAGGAAACACCTTACTGCTGTCACACCCCTCTACAGTCAGCAGTACGACTTCGCCCTCAGACCTTGAGTTGCTGCTTTTAGTCTTACCGTTCACCAATCGACCTGCCTGGCATGGTAGAACCTACAGGAACATATGTTCCAGCCAATATAGCTCGGTTGGGTCATCACGATAGGCAAGCCCGACCACCGCGTCAAGGTAGCAGCTTCGATCGGGCATCTTGATGCTTATCAGTCTCCATACGTATACACCATACCATATTGTGCTCTGTATTTGTGGACCGCAACCCATACGAGCTGAGGCTGTCAGGTGACTGTTCGGTCGACAGTGATACCACACAATCGCTCACAACCAGTGGTAACACCCAGCTTCTTAATTAGTTCTGACTCAAGTCATGTAAAAAAGCAGTCATCGTCAGATTTTTCAAAAACCTTGCATCCAAAAGCCGCTCAGTATTTTATTGCTAATGGTAAGAGCCAAGTACCCCATCGTCAGAAATGATTGCAGTTATTGCTAATAAGATAAAAATGTAAAAAAAGTTGTTTTTGTTGTCTGTGTTACCTTAAGCTTCATCCCACGGCACAGACTAGTAGGTCAATTAAGAATCTAAAGTACCTTATGCATGATTATGATGAACTAAATTTTCGGAGTATATCACGAAGTATTAAAATACTAACCACTCAGCGCTTGGGATGCAACATTTTCGTCAAGAGATTTGCAAACGTTAATCTTAACTTTGGAAGGGTCAAGGAAGTGCAGCCTATGACGAAATACATGGAATACTTCATAAATTAATGATCGTTTACATTGGGAAAGTATTTTAAAACCCAACTAATACGTGAAATTATTGTCTTAAATAACGACCTGTTACCGGTAAACGAATTAGCTAGAGGGAAACCTCCAGTACGAGGATGAGTGATCCGATCTTGAACCAACTATCAGTAACGAGCTTCCTTGGTAGTATGAGTCAGTCAGTAACAACGTAGAACTTCGTACGTACGTACATCAGTTCGAGTTGCCACACCACATTATGGATGAATGGACTCCATTTTTAATGTCAGAATCTTATCATTACTGTTGTGTGTATTTTTCATCGGATATTAAAATCGAGACCTCCTTGGTTTTCTACTGGTAAGTAGGCTGTATTTTAGATAGCAAATAAGACTAAATCAAATCATATGAGATCAACAGATATGAAGTGAGAGTTACAATCTTTATTGTTGAGTTCTGAATGACTCACCTCAAAAGTTAGGTTGAATCTAGCCGAACTATTATATTGGTTTGGATGTAAGTTCTCATTCTGCAATCTTCTCAGTAAGCTAAACTCTTATCTCACTAAGTGTCCAAATGTCACTGGTTCGTAGCAGGAATTAAGTCTATCTACCAAAGAAGTGATATCTCATACTATGTCGATAGAGATAACCTTCAAGCCACAATTTATTAAACAATTCTAAGCGGATGTCTGGCGCTTTAACCGGGTTGGTGGACACGAAGGGTCAACATAGGGGAGTTGGAAGGCCCTTGTCCCAAACCAATGGTGCACATGGGCCCCAGGGAACAAATGGCGTATGAACCTTTTGTTGGTCACCCACTATCACGGGACTGCATCTCCTAACTTTGCTCCACTGCCTTGTGGATTAGGTCGATAGGTCAAAGGTTCGGGGAGTGGCCTGAGAAAAGAAGCTGTTTCAGTTCGGGCTCCCAGGTAGTATTTCAGCCCTCACACATATCGTATGGATTGTGTGGCGCATATGTATTCGGTGTCTTCTTGTACCAATGTCTAGGTATTTAAATATAAAGCTGACAGTTTAAAAAGCATCCCAATAAATGATGTCCGTGAGGTATCATACTCATCTCTAACAATAAATACAAGTGACAGATGGAATACATAATCATTTAGTGTCTCGAACAAATATGACCGATCCCGACTACAGCTAGCTAAATCAACAAAACCTCAAGTCACCAATAAGAGAATTAAATGCACATACATGTGTACATTCCTAATATACAACTTAACAGTCAACAGATATTCGGGAACAAAAAACAAATTACTGTATTCGATACTGTTATTATTGTTATTATCACTAGTAGTAGTTACTATCTGTTATCGCTGTCTTATCTCAAAGGCAAACAATATACATAATTATATATTGTTTAGTCAAACAAAACAGAATTTTGACAAGAGGGAATTGTAGACCAAAAGAATGAGCGAAGAGAGGGAGGTGGGCGCAAGTCAGAAAATGTGAACACCACAAGTAATACGCGAAATGAAATAGAGTATGAGATAGAAAAAAAAGTAATACATAATAGCCAGAAAATATTAAACGCATTAGAAGACATTTAACAAAAATGAAGCAGAACTATTCAGTTAGTAAAACCATTGCTTTCTGTAAAGAAAGCATCCGTCGTCAAATAGCTCATTCTTCACACGTACACACAGAGAACGAAGTTATTTTATATGAGGATCCATTGATGCACATAAGTTAAAGTGTGAGAAAAGCTGTGTCGAAACACATGTTTTAGAGGAAAATATATCGCACAAACTAAAGACGCGACTGCAAGAGACATGATACATTTGAATTAAAGCAGCAATAACAGAGAGCAGTAATAATATTCGTCGAAAAAAAAACAATGAAATGAAGCAGTGTATAACATATGTTTATGCGATTTTGACCAACAGGCCTGTTTATGAGTTTGCATTTACATACACATACACCTTCAAGAATTAAGATAAGAAGAATTAAAATAGAACTGAAGAAAAATGAAATACATAGTTAAGTACCAAACGTTTATATTTATAAGACAAGACTACAATTGAATACAATAGATTTAGTCATTGGCGCACATGCAACCATGAATGTAAGCGTTAGGCGTAAAATTCAAATGTTTACTGCATGTGTGCATATATATCTATATACTGCGTATCAATACATTCATATCTGCACATGTCGATATAGTAATAAGTTGTATATGGAGCAGAGAAAAGCACATTTATGAATTGAGAATGTATGTTGCCTTGTCATGGTGGACAGTAGTATAGTAATAATAATAGATAACAGATTGAGGAATTAAAATCGGCAAGACATGAAAGAGAAAATACAAGGTGACCATAGTTTACTTGGAAAAGAAACACAAAATGAGATTATGCAATCAGAGATTAACGCTAGAGAGAGAAAGAGAGACACACACACACAAAACCGTGTGGCACAAAAATACATACTATCGAGAGAAAAAAAACAGGATATTAGAAGACAGAATGGAAAACAATATAGTGAATAGAAAAAAATTGATTTATTTCCCTAATTCACATATGGAGAAATGTCATTTTTTTTCTTGAATTTTTATTGGAAAATCCAACACTAGAGAGTAGTTTTTTTTTCTCTGTTTATTCAAACGGATGAACTCAAAAGATATGATCATAGTATTTGAATAGTGACAAAATGAAGTTATGCAAATAAGAATGAGTACAAATGTTTACCGTATTCCCCTCCACTCTTCAGTGAATTCAATTACATAACAATGAAACAATGTAGATAATAGTTTATTCCACCTTATCAAACTTTAGTATTGTTGTAAATATATTTTATTTCAAAATACATTATTTGTGTCAAAGCACAAAGCGTTAAAAATAGTGAGTAGAAAAACACAAGCATACATAAATACATACATACATACAAAAGGAAAGCATTAAATAATAATCATTTCATAAATTTAGTAGAAGCAACAAAACATGGCAGCACATAGTTTATTTAGTTACTTATCTATTCTCGTTCCATAACAACAACAACAACAACATGATACGAAATATTGATCATCATTTGAACTATCCGCTACTTCTATCATTGTTTCCGATTAGAGTACTATAATTTAAAAAAGATTTTACATACAAAAATGTTTGAGAGAGAAAGAGAGACAGAGACATAGTCGAATGGAACTATCATCATTATTATTACTAATGAATTGCTTTGCCTGTTTCAACATTTGATATATTTAATTTTAGGCATTGAACAGATAAAATCCACTTACATCACTCGTATGTGTTATTTAAAAAATGTGTATTCTAGTTATTTATGAAATTGTTAAGCAAGTGTATCTGTGTGTCTCAAGGTAAGTATTAACATTGAGAGAAGAGAAATGTAAAAGCATTCGATTATACAACTATTCTTTTGTAGATTACAAACGGGAGAACAAAACAAAAAGGGAACACAAAGAAAAGATAAGATAAAAAGGTATTTCACAACAAATAAGAAACGAATGTGAATTATAATTGTACGATTATTAGTATTATTATATAATGTGTTATTTGTGAAAATACTTTCTGCATTGTAGACGTGCATCTTACACTCGCTCACAGGTTCTATGCAAGTGTACAACATGATTCTTAAGCAGTAATCGAGAGAGAAAAAGAAAGATATGTACTCAACTGAATGATGAATAACTGCACCAAAAAGAAACCATACATAAATTAACACGACCAATAATAATAGACAAATATCAAACAAAGAAAGGAAACATAGAACAAAGAAAATAAACAGACAAACAAATAAATAAAACAATCAGTCAATTAATACAAACCACATCCTTTAAGATTATTTGCTATAATCACATCGGTAACAGCATCGAACACAAACTGAATATTATTTGTATCAGTTGCACATGTTTGATGACAATAGATTTCTTTGTTAGGTGATCGGTTTTTTGCTTCGAATGACGCTTGAATATAAATAGCCGCTTCTTCATACGTTTGTTTACCTATTTTGTATATGTGTATATGTATCAAAAAAAGGAAGGATGGTAATGAATAATAGTTTAAATAAGAAATATTATCCAATTATTTACATAACAGCAATATTGATTGGTTGTTAAGCGTCGATATCATCACATCAAACAAAATCAATGGGATAATGAAAAAATTGTAATAAAAAGTTGGCCAGATTTATGGACATGGAAACATTTTCTTAAAAAAAAATTATTTCTGTTTAGAAAATTTATTCCTTCTACTGATTGAAAAGAGAAAAATTTGGCTACTTATGAATGATGAATGATTGAGGTTTCAAGTGAACAGAGTTATCTTTTTTTTATTATCTGGTTACATTTGTCTTATAACTTCAAACCATATCATGGGCATATCATGATCGGAATACAAAGTGAAAGTGTTGACTGTTGACAGATTACTACATCCCCAGTTCAACAAATATGTGGACTAATCGTTAAAGATTTTGGTGAAATTGAGAAAGAGTACGCCGTTTATAGAGATAGTTTATTTTAAAAAATAGATCTTTTTAGGCTGGCTAAGCATTTCAGTGGGGTGTTGTGAAGATCTGGAAGATGTATCAAAGCTAAGATGACTATCAACCCCCCGTGTTGATGAAAAAAATATGACGTGTAATGCCTATTAAACAGAATATGTATTACTATCATACACAAATCTCTTGTACATGGCTTCTGAGTTAAAATAATTTATTGAATGACTTTAGGTTAGTTCCTAAGTGATTAGATTCGTAGATCACAAACAAATTGTGTTCGCTCATAATCAACACCCATTTACAAGTTGTCCAGGAAACATAATTTTCGTTAGCGCCACAGATACACTGTGTTAATGGGTGTTGAACGACTTTAACATAAAATTTATCTGCTGACACTTATTACCGACCGATGAATAGTCTGCCATTAGGGGCGGCCAAACCAAAAGTGGCAACAGTCCACAAAGTCACTAACTTCTAGTCTGAGCCATGTTGGGAGATGCAGACTACTTGGTTGGGGTCCGCGTGACTATCGTAATCAATGGCTGGAGACTCTTGGTGATATGGCTCAGAATCGACCACAATGGCGTAGGTGTATACACTCTCTGTCTTCCCTTAAACTAAGAGTTTAAAATCGCTTCATATCTTTATTTCTACCAACTAATTTTTTCTTCCTTTACTATGTTCTTATATGCAATCTTTCTTTTATATATTACCACCATTGACCTAACTACCCCAATGAATCCGGTGTTCATTTTGCTGTGCTAATACGGTATGGCAACTTGGACCGATGCATACATGTGCCTGGTCCTACGTTGTAGCTGACTGACTGACTGTGAGGAATCTATCAGGTTCTCTCACTGTTGAAATCGAATAGGACGACATCATAACACAACACAAATAAGTACTTATCACACAAAAACCAAGTATAACAGGTTCGCGTACTCGCAGCTCTCAATCATCGTCTTTTGTGATATTATGCCCTGCTAGGAATGAATTAGATTTCGAGTGGTTCGAATCAACAGCCTATTTGTTTGAAAGATATATTGCTTCAACTAGACTATCCAATATTTTCAGATTTCCAATGGTGGCCTAACATTGATCGATTTATAATCTCAATCAAAAACTATCCAGCTAATTGGAGAAAAAAAGTATGCATACGATAGTAGAAGCCAATTTCCAAAAAAAAGAATACATACCTGGATATTCTGGGAAACAAATAGTCAATGGGGAACGTTTGATCTTCTCTTCGAATAGATCTTTTTTATTTAAAAATAAAATAATACTTGTATCAGTGAACCATTTATTATTACAGATTGAATCGAATAATTTTAATGATTCTTGCATACGATTCTGTAAAAAGAAAATAAAAAAAGGAAAATAACAAACTTGCAAATATACTACTTATTTACTACTGAGCGAAAAAAAAGAAAATAATCCATTTGAGGTTTATAAATATTTTCTTTATAAAAAAAAATTAGGTGGTAATAAAGGTTTATAACTCAAATGGATGATGTTGGTTGAGTTTCGTTCTCTATAGAGAACGATTTAATCTTATAGTTTTAATTGTCCTTCTGGATATTGTCGGTAGGAAAATTCTAGTGGAAGTGAGCTACATGAATTTTCTTACATATGACTGCCAGCTTATTCTTTCGTTAACATTTCATGGTTGTTTTTGTTGACCATTATCCTATCAGTGACTGCATATTCATTTTGAATGTCATCCCTGCTGACCTTATAGTTCTCCATGATTTTGTTTTACTGGTTGATAAACTGGTTTGATTTCGATATGTTTATTGATTACTGATTGACTGAGTGCGATGCTTCCAAGAGACCTGTGGTCTTCTCGGTATTTCCTTTATTCACGATACCGCCATTTTCTCAGTTGAACATGTGTTCATAACTATATACATGAATTGATATAGCTAAAGATATGTCACGGCAGTTGACAGTTTGCTGGTGTTCATCCAGACGATCACACCTTGTTCGATAGTGTTTTTTTCGCAGTTGAAACAGATTATTTTGCAAACGATGTTTAACTTTTCCACTTTTGCCGTTCATACTTTGTATAAGATTGACTGAACCGATTTCACTGGTTTCTACAAATACCTTACTTTTATCTGAATTTATCCAAAAAGATAATCAAAACTTCATGATGAAACCATCCAGCTCAGATGCTCAAATTCCTTAGAGAATAGAGTACTATACATTCCTCCCGGTTAGTAGTAGTATGGATTTGGACATAGAGTAAGTGAACACATCTACTCCTGCCTAATTATTTCAATCTTCACGATTTTTATCATTAGTTGACAAGATTCCGTGAGGAAAAAAGATTGAGATATGTAAAATAATGGCAGTCTAAATTCTATTAGTGAGTTGAAAGTCTTTCGGATCAAACCTCTAAAGTATTTTCTGCTTAGTTAGTTTACGATTCGCGAATTTAAAAAACAACACGAATGACTTATTATTAATAGTAGCAATAGCATTTAATAACAACAGTATATACTAGTCGCCAACATTGTCTTCTTTTGCTTTATACATTAAAAATCTGGTACCGGAAGTGACTAAATTTAGAAATACAAATAAAAAACAAGGAGTTTATGTAAGGGGAATGTGTTTTCGAAGAGCATAAAATGCAGATGCATCAGACTGACTATACGATTAATTAGTTACTCAGGATTAATATCGAATTTACTTTCATTCCATCCTAAAATGACGACTACACCGATCAGCAGCGACGTAATCAAGCTGGTAAATTGATATGAATACCCAAGAAAGGTAGTACATTCACATTACTAATTAAAATAATAAAGATTTTAACGGTTGTAGTCCAGTTGATCAGTAATAACCAATGATAAACCTAGCACAAATATGTGTTGGTCGAATTTGCCATATCATATTGGAGAGACGAAATGAAGATTAACAAGTTGAAAATAGATCGAAATAATGTGGTAGCAATAATAATGAGGAAGATTGAACATAAAGAACACCATCCGATAAATTAAAGAGGTGTGTATGAAGGAATATTGGAACTTAATGTCTAAACTAAGATAAAGAGTGAATGCATCATTATTAGTGAGAACGATTCGAGCCATGTCATCCAATGTCTCTAACCACTGATCGTGGTTACCGTACGGACTGCAATCACGTATTCTGCACCTACAAACACAGACCAGACTGATAGTCAGTGACCTCATAGACTGATATCACACCTTTAATTGGCTGAGCATAGTTTTCTCCCAACTTACACTTCCATCAGTTATAACATTGTTCTCTGAAGTGGACAGTGGTTGAACATACAAAACAAATTATTTGATTTCAAAGGATACTACTTTCCTAACCATCAATTCAACTAAAATAAATGACAATCAAAATTATACTTTTCTATCGTACACATAATCACAATCAAAGAGAATTACTTGTCGTTCAATCACAAGATTGTAAAGTCCGAACTCCGTGTCATCTACTTTGAGTGTGCTTAGTATAGTGTCAAAATTTTTGACCCTATATCGAGTAAAAAAACAATTGTGATGATACGTGACACTCCATTGCTGAATGTCTTTTGTGAATTCCTCATTCAGTATCGAAATAATTAGTTAGTATCAAAAACCTAGAAAATTCATTTTATGTTTCTTAATAAACCACTCTATTACAAAATTAATAAAGGGATACAAAACCAATCCATACAGATTTGGATCTGCGCAAAAGAAGCCTTAGGACTGCTAGGTTAAAAAAAAATACAGATTTGTAAAGGAAACCCATCACCCTTTCAAATTCATGATGACTATTTTAGAAGTTCGATACAACATCATACACTAAAGTAAAAAGTGATGATTAGTAATTTCGAGAATCTACTAAGATTTTTTAAAAATTAATAGGCATACTGTTGTCTCATCTTCATGTAACACTTGATCGTATTCGCTCATAGCAACACAGAAAATAATTGCTGTCACATCTTCAAAGCAATGAATCCATTTTTTACGCTCCGATCGTTGTCCACCCACATCAAAAAGTCTAAATTTTATCAAAGATAAAAACAACAGGGCAACATAACACATAAGCACAAGTCAAAAATTATTATTAGTCAGGAAATTTTTGTTAAACGAATTGTAACTTAGCAGGAAAGTGAAATATGTTAATATAAGACTAAGCACGTGATTCTAACTTAGTGGAATAGTGAGATGACCATGAAACTCAACTGCAGGGTAAACAAAAATAAACTGAAAATACCTGAACTACTTATAAGTAAACAACTTAATTATACACAAATACTACCAAGACGGTTGATATATTATTTCAACCAAAGATAGCAGAACAAATTGCTTTAAAACCAATAGCGATTAGTAATCTCACTTAGAAGAGGTTAACAATCCGAGAACTGTATGGGTTCGATTGGTCACACTTCATAATAGTATATAAGAAGAAAATGAAGGAATAAAATGAAAACAAGAGAGTTTAGAGAAGTACGATAGTTTGACTCAGTATGCAAAGATATGATCAAACATTAAATAAGCATAAACTTCTTAATATTAATGATGCCCAACAAGAACCTATTTCAGAAAACGCATCAAAAATCAGTGAATCCAATTGTTTATGAAGTATTTAGACAAAACATCAAAGTTAGGAGGTTTAGACACATAAAATATTCTATATAAGCTAGAAAGTTTATTCTGAATCAGTTAATAGATCTAACCAAAACAAATACCTATTTGGAATAAAATTGGACATTTGTATTTTGAACAAAACTTCTTGATCTATGATAGCTTAAAGGAATAAAATATAGAAAAAATAGTTACCATGACATGAATCAAGCTATAAAGAAAGAACTTTTGTTATCAAAATATCATTTACTGAAAATAAAGAAATCACTGTGAAATATATACCAATTTATATGAAAAAGATATGAAATGATATAAGCTGACTAGTTACACTGTAAGCTTCATAGTTAATGACTGGTAGAATTTGGTTGTGTAGATAAAATTTCAACCTCTCTTATCTTTGAAAATGAAGAAGAAAAGGCCATATTATAATTTATGAACAAACCAATCAAATATAAGATAACAGGTCTCGGATTTCGGCGCGAAATTCACCCATCCATTTGGTTAAATAAAGTTTTTGCATGATAGCTGATATCAGTTCGTGATGAAAACCCCTAATCTAATTCTTAACCTTAACCACCAACTGTAAATCATAATTCTAATTCCTCATACTGGTTTACAACCGTCATTTAGTCCCAGTTATTAGGTGAACACTCTCAAGGTCACCCTAGCGTCCCTCAAAGGTCGTTCACAGATTATAGTCTCATCGAAAAGAAAATAATGAAGTCTCACAGAACTAAATTTAGTCAAATGAAGTGATATTATTGAGAAAATTGAAACTAAAAAATCCATTAATTCATAGTTATAAAATATACCCTTGTGGGCCAGGGTAATTTTACATTGGTTTCAGGAGAACCAGACACTATTCAGACTTTCACGTGACAACTCAAACAGTACATCTCAATCGCGTTTAACAGGAGAGTCACACACCGCCAAGGCTTAAAATGTGTAGCCCAAATAGTACAGCTCAATTCCATTTCACAGGAGAACCAGACACTATATAAGCTTTAACTCTACAATCTGAATAGTACAGCTCAATCCTGTGGTGCAACCACACAGGTACCAAGCACCCTGGTGGACAAAAATGCATTAATTAATAAAACAAAATTAATGTCAAAATAAACATACTTGAAATTCATATTTTTAAATTGAAAGTGTACTTCCACGATACCAGTTGTTTTGACACGAGTTCTAAGAATATCTTGTTCGGTTGGCATATAATCTTTAGCACCAAGACGATCCAAATCATCAAGAAAACTAAAAGAGAAAGGTGGAATTTTCAAATAACACAATGTCAGTTTTGACTGAACAACAGAAATTCGATTATATATATATATATATATATATATATATATATATATATATATATATATATATATATATATATAGAGAGAGAGAGAGAGAGAGAGAGAGAGAAAGGATTATTGACATTTAAACTGATACATGATACATAACAGTTATTTAGTATAATAACAATATATATTACAAACACCTAACTGATATTCCTTTAAACTATGAGATTAAAATCGCTTCATATCTTTCTTCTTGTACTACGTCCTGATATGC